AAAAAACAAGTTAATTAAGTCTATGCACCAAATAAAATACTGCACTATGTTTCTAGACCAAAATAGGGGGCAATGCTTTCTAAGAAATGCATAGCTAGGGGTGTAAATGAGCCAAACGTGATTGAGCTCAAGTGTTGTTCGATTTAGCTCCTTAAACAAACAAGCCTATTTCTTTTTTTATTTTTGTTCAATTTAATAACTAATTGAGCAAACACAAGTTGTTAATGAACATATAGAATAAGGATGCAAGTTTTAAAGCATCATATCAATCATGAATAAAAGGTTCAACAATTGTCATTATTTTATGAGCTTAGAAAGCAAGATAAGATTTAAATGTATCGCAAAGGCTATAATCAAGGAGTAATATCATTATCGTCATCAAGATAATATTAATAATGAAAAAAACAACAACGGTCTAGCCTTACCAGTTAAATTAGAAGAAATCCACTATTTTCACTATCCTCCCTACATAGTTGGTGCCTCCCCTTCACCGCATGACAACTTCATACATGATAACATCATCCAAGAGTTTTTTTTTTCTTTTTTCCTAAATTTATGGCACCTCATAATGAAAAGGAAGTTTAAAGTTCAAAAGCGAGGAAACAATGGCAAACAATGAACAATGGCTTAAATTGAGAAACATAAGAAAATAACATTAAGGGATAAAATCTAAATCAAATTGGGGCTCCTACATGCATCACAAATTTTAGCCAAATAAAGCTTAAACTAAGGAATAGTTACAAAAATAAAATAAAAAATTTATTAATGGAGTGAATACAATAACAACAACAACAACAACATCAAGCTTTTATCCCACTATGTGGAGTCGGCAACATGAATCTTTTCCTCTGTTGACATATTAAAAGTCAAATTCTAATTTAAGTCTAATAAAAAAAATATCATTTCTAATACTTTCTAAGTCTTTTTTAAATCTATCTCTACCTTTCTTAACATAGACAAGATCTAATACATCTACTCTACTAACCGGGTCATCGGAAGGCCGACATTTTATATGAGCAAAACATCTAAGGCGACTCTCTCTGATCTTATCTATCACTGAGGCTACTCCAACCTTCATGTATATACTCATTTTGCATTCTATCTCTAAATGTAAAGCCGCTCATCCACCAGAGCATCCTCTTTTCTACAATACTAAATTTTATGCTTCTCTTTTAACTGACAACAATCTACTCCATAAAGCATTGCAGGTCTCACCACCACCTTATAAAACTTTTCCTTAAATTTGAGGGATAATTTTCTATCGCACAATAGGCCCGATGCATTCCTCCACTTCAACAAACCTACTTAAATTCTACTAATAATATCACATCTATTTCACCACCACTTTGAACAATAAATTCGAGATATCTAAAATATGTACTATTTTTAATGACTTGATCACCCAAAATCACAATCCCTCCACTATATCTATTACTACTAAAATTACACTCAATATATACAATTTTAGATCTACTCAAATGAAAACCATAAGACTAAGGATTACCACCATAATCCCTTCCTCTCTAGTCTCATCAACAAAAAGAATATCATCAGCCAAAAGCATACACCATGGTGTACATCCTATTACAAAAATCTAGTAAGAACATCCATGACTAAAGCAAAGATATTGGCTTAAACTGATCCTTGATATAATCCAACTAGAATAGGAAAATACATGGTCAAACCATGTTGTGCTTGAGCTTGAGCAAAAGTAACAGCTCCTATATATATATATATATATATATATATATACATATATATAATGACTTTGATATATAAGCATTATTAATTCATTTATTTTCTAAAATTCTCTAGGGCACTTCTCTTGGAATTTTATCATATGATTTCTCTAAATCAATAAATATTATATGTAGATCCTTACTAGACACTTCTCCATCAAACCTCTCAAAAATGTATAGCTTCCATAATAGACCTACTCAACATGAATCCAAACTTATTTTGAGAAATATTAGTATCACATCGTAACCTATGCTCAGTTACTCTCTCTAATAGTTTTGATGTATGACACATTAACTTAATTTTTTTATAATTTGCACACTCTTGTGCATCACCTTTATTTTTAAAAATAGGAACTAATAACTCTTTCTCTACTTATATGGCATCATTTTAGTCTTCAAAATAAAATTAAAAAGTTTACCAAGCCAAAAATTTTCTTGATCTCTTGAGCATTTCCACACCTCCATTGGAATATCATCAGGTCCCACTATTTTTCCTCACTTCTTTTATTTTTAAGTCTCTCCAACTTTGATTTTACTAATACGACGATAAAAACAAAATTCTTTATTTTCAAAAAGGAAGGAATACAAAATTCAAATTAAAGAAGACATGGCCAATCTCATGAGATTAACAATTAAAAATTCAAATGCGAGGAGTATATGGCAGGCCCCATAAGGAATTTTATTTAATTATTTTATTCATACAATTATCATGAAATGGCTATAAACATATGATAGTATTGCATATAGCTTGGATTATATGATGTAAAATATCTAGGTAATTTTAGTAGGTTGAGCTAGGTATCTCTCTCCTACATAACCTTGGTGAGTTGTCCATAAAAATGATATTTTGTATTTTATTTCAAATAATATAAAATATTATTTCATATTTGATTTTAATCATGAATAAAGCATACAATTTTCTTTTTAATACTGCATCCCTTCTTCATAGTTCATGATAGTTACATCTCCATTCTTCACCAATATATTTCCAAGCTTGGCTCCACTCTTCCTTATTCAATCATAGCCAAGATCCACTTCTAATATGTCTTCATTAAACCACATAGTAGGTGAATGACACTTCATGGAATATTTAGATATTCCATATATATGGTTATGTGCCTTACATATATAATTAGGTGAGGATTTATTCTTCACCTTCACACTCCACAAGTACTTTCCAAATAAATATAATATGAATATGCAAAATAAATAATACATACATAAATACATACATATCAAGGCATACATAACCAAAAAAGGCCTTGTACAAATTTGGCACATGAAATATGTAAGCTTATAAAAACTAGTTAAAATTGAGCTAATTATAGACAAGAACTTGAGAACATAGTCATATCCACTTATAGATCGAAGATGATATTCTTTATTTTATTTCAAGTAATATAAAATATCATTTTGTATTTCATTTCAATCATGAATAAAGTATGCAATTTTCTTTTTAACACTACATCTTTTTTTTTTAAATACTTCATGATACTTTCGTCTCCCATCTTCACCAATCTACCAATCTACTTCCAAGCTTAGCCTCCACTCTTTATTCAATCACAGCCAAGATTCCTCCTACCATGTCTTCATTAAACCGCATAGTAGCTGAATGAAACTTCATGAAATATTTAGATATAGATAGGATTATGTGCCCTACATAAATAATTTGGAGAGGGCTTATTCTTCACCTTCATACTCCACCACAACTACTTCAGATCAGTTATCATTAACTTTACATGAAATATATATATAATCAAACCATTATCAAGCCAAACATGACTAAAAATGTCCTTGCTAGTGTTTCGCTAATAAGATATATAAGCTAATAAAAACAATTTAAAATTGAGCTAATTACAGACCGACATAAGATAAGAAAAAATGAACTTTTTTGATAGCCCTAGTCATATTATGCAAGAGGTAATGCAGAAAAAAAGGTAAATAAAGAAAACTAATTGTTTGGTTTGATACAATGACAAAATGGAAACACGATCTACATTTTAGTAATTAAAAATACAGTAACAACTCACGAAAAAATTCTAACATCTATACTATAAATATTGATTTTCATAATGCCAAACTGGTTCTTCAAAAGGCAACAGTCATATAAACCATCCATTTTAGACTCAACTAAAATCTTTTATTACTCATCACTCAACAGGTGTCCGTCACATTACTAGACCTAACAAAATCATATTTAACTTACATATAAAACATATTAAATAGTGTACCAAATAAATTCCTTGCACAAACCACAAAATTTTTCAAAGAAAAATTTGCTAAAACATAGCCAAGCAAGCTACTGCAGATTAATGCAGTTCATCACCAATAATGAACATTTCACAATATTTCAAATCACCCTAGTCTTTCCTCTTATAGTGTTTTTTGTAAAATTAAAAGCTATTTATTGATCATTTGCTCCTCTCATTCTTTAGATCAATCAAAATTACAAAAATATTAAACTCTAAAAAGTTTTTACCAAGTATGTAAGGCTCTCACGTAAGTAGGATTTAGGAAATCTTTGATGGACAAAATTTTCACGATGCCGTGTAGAGTTGGCTATTTTCATTATTCGAACATAAACTGAAGGTTAAAATGTAAGCAGCCTAATCATTTCTACAAGCTCGCCCTCAAAATCAAATATCACTAGAAGTTGCATATATTTATGGATAGGCTCCGTATATGCAGAAGTCAGTTCGCATTGTAGAGTTGGTTATTTTCATTGTTCTTGAAATTCCGGTTATTTTCATTATTCAAACCCATGAACTATAGGTTATAATGTAAACAGCCTAATCATTTCTCCAAGCTCACCATCCTTGAAATCAAATATCACTGGAAGTGGAATATATTTATGGACAGGCTAGCATATATGCAGGAAACAGTTTGATGCCCATGCATGGAAGTTATTACGAAATAGTTATTATGATACCACATCAGGTATTGAAACAGTAACTCCAGCAGTTCTACAAAGCCACAGACTTCAATCTGAAAATTGGTAACACATAAATACCATATGCCCTGTTAATAGTGTGCCATGATTGTATTACTGAAGTTTGAATCACCCACCCAATAGCAAGATCAAAACTAGCTCTGCCAAGGATCATTAGTATATAGCTTTTTGCGTAGCCCTACTAGTATACAAGGCAAACCAAAACCTTGATGCAAAAGAAGGAAGTTCACAACAATGTAGACACCATACTCTTTGTCAAAATAATAAATATAAAAGAATCTATAATTTTAAGACTATGAGTAGACTATCCCAAGTTCCATTTTGCATTAATATTTTGGACCATATCTAAAATTAACAGTATGATTTTGTATAAAGTTCCAGAAAATAGAATGCACCTCTCTTAAAATATTCTCCATCTGTCTCAGCTTTCCATCCGTGCTTCCATAGTTATTTCCAATTGAAACTTTCAAGTCATCTACTGAGTTTTCAAGTATGCATGTTCTGCTCTCAAGCTGTGACAATCTTGAACTCATACCTTCCAGAGCATGTAATATAACATCAACATACTTCTTAACTGTGTTCTCTACATCTTCCACTGAAGCACCATGATGATTCGCAAGCTTGATGTCAGGTAGCATTGTCTCCTATCATAAATGAAGAAACTTCATGAGCTGTAATGGAACATTACTTTAAACAAACAAATAACTATAGAGGAGCGATGACTTTTGCAAAACATGATAATGCAATTCTAGTAAACCAGAAAAATAAAAAAACACGATTCATGATTGAAAATTGAGCAATGCAAGAATAGGCTATTATTAGTATGGTAAAAGTCCTTTTCTTTGAAGGTCACTTAAAACTGAAGTTTGTAAATAATCAACAGCTTTTGGATATCTAATGGAGAAGCTCATGCAAGAAATATCCCTAGTGAAAAGAGAAATTTAGGTATCTCTTAAGATGGTGAAATTATTGATAATATGTAAGTGATTTCGATAACAAATATTTTCAATGAAATGTCAAAGGGTAAGAAGATGCCAAACAATTTTGGTTAGCATTTAAGAATAAAGGAAATCCTTAAAAGAGTAATCATTATAAAGGAATCAAACATAGGAACAATATAGTAAGAGAGCAATAGAGCTTAAACTAGAGAAAAAATTATATTAGTATCAGAGAATCAATTTAGATCTCAAGTATTTCATATCAATCTTGTACAGGAAACACTTGTAGATCTCAAGTATTTCATATCAATCTTCGGAAAACAACGAGAATGCTCCACAAAAAACCAAAAAATCACGAAACAATAGATAATTTGTATTATTTGATGAAAGGGAAACAGAAAATACCAAGATACAATTGATCCTCTATTCGAGAGGAGGATCTTTCTCTCACAAATCTCTACATGCCGCTAGAGCCCAAAGAAATTAAGAGATCTCAAATTTCAACCAAATTCAAGATGCCCTAACCCTAGGAAAACAAACTATTTAATGCATACAATTCAAAAGGAAATCTCTAAACAGACCCTACATTCAAATTTCCTTCCTAATTCCCTCAAAAAACCTTCCAAAATAGCTCCATTGGATCTCGCAAATTTTACGGCTCGTACGGGAGGCGGAACATCTACCTTTGTTTCGCCCGTAAGCCGGTCCCACATGGACTGGCTGGACCGGTCCAGTAGACCGGTCTAACAATATTCCCCTCCCAAAGATCCACCATATACTCAAGGTGGAAGGGTAGTATGATGTTGATAGCTTTCTTCAGTTGCTCTGTTAGTGGTCATGCTATCATCAACTGGAACCAAGCTAAAACTTTCTCTTCCAAACATAGGGCCACTGCCATCAGTCCCTCCTCTCCCCTCACCCCATTCACCATGAGATACATCTCCACCCAGTACACCCACCCATAAGCATCCTCCCTTTTAAATACTGCATCCCCAACATCCTCACCCAAGGATCAATACTACCCCAATAGCTTGTTCATCCTCCAGTATAGCAGTTGTCATGATCCCTCCATATTTCCCCCATGTATCGTGGACGGGAATACCACCTTCCTTCCCTTCACCTCACATGACCCGATTCACATGGTACGGCTCATCCCATTCCTTCGGTCATCCACTCCCCTTGCCCAAAAGACCTCCCATAGTGGTCGGCCACCCCACCACCTTCATCACGAAACTCCCTTCCTGCTGTCCCCCCATTCGATAACCCTATTCCGCCCCTTATCGGAGCCCTTGAGGTGACTCTTGACCCTATCCTTCCTCGATGGCCCACTCCCCTTGTCCAAAATTCTTCTCATAGTGGTCCACCGCTATACCGTCTCCACCAAAAAATTTCCTCTTTGTTGTCTCCTCATCCAGAACCCTGATTCACCCCTTATCGAAGCCCCAGGAGGTGGCTCTTGATGAAAGAAACTTCCCTCGTCAAACTCCTCTTGTCCGATCTCCTTTCCCTTCGATTCGGCCAAGGAAATCCCAGTCAAATCTTGGTTAGGGTTAGACATCGGAACAACCAATGAAGTTTTTGTTTGCATCTCCAAAAGCCTTCTTAACATCTCTTCCACCCTTCTAAATTGGTTTTCCATACGGTTTTCTATATATGAAAATCATTCATTCATGGTTGAGAACTTTTCCATGACGATTTTGAATTTCTCCATCTCGCCTTCCAGTGCATCCATCTTCTTTGCTTCCATTAATTAGATCTAAGCTCCAATTGCAAAAACAGCGAAGATATCTTATTTTTTGACCCAAGAAAATGCTCTGATACCAATTTGATATGAAACACTTGTAGATCTCAAGTATTTCATATCAATATTCAAAAAATAACGAGAATTCTCCACAAAACCACAAAACAGTAGATAATTTGTATTATTTGATGAAAGGGAAACAGAAAATACCAAGATACAATTGATCCTCTATTCGAGTGGAGGATCTTTCTCTCCCAAATCTTTAGACGCCTGATGCATTCAATAATTTTGGTTTATTTATGTTTTATTGTATTTTGAACAATATTAGTTGTGTTTTATTTTTGTTTATGCTATCCTATGATGGTTGGGCTTCCAATGATCATGGTAGGAATTTGCTAAGCATGGCAAGCCATGGATTTGTTTGCTCTTGGGTCCATTTTGATCTTGGGTTGCTTGCAGTTATCATTTTGGAGTTGTTTGTTGTTTTCGGGAGGACCTTGGCTGCTTGGTGATGAGCTCATAAATGCTGGATTCTACTTGGTGCTAGTTCATAAATGCTTGAGCTGAAGTTTAGCTCAATGATTGGGGATTAAATGCACTTCCAAGCTCATTAATACATAAAGGTATGCTATTATTTCAAGAATTCATTTTGGAGTGGACTTGTGCCTCTTCTCCTCCCTTTGTCTTCTCGATTTCCCCTTACTGGTTGGTTTCCTGTGCCTTGCCCCTTTGTCTCCTGTGCTGGCTCTTCGGGTCCCTTGCTGGCTTGTTTCCCGTGCCCTGGTGCTTTGCCTCCTGTGCTGGCTTTTCGGGTCCCTTGCTGGCTAGTTTCCCGTGGTTATTTGGGTGGGGGGGATTTCGGTGGCTTCCTCTCTATTTTTTGTGCAGAATTCCTGCTGCTGTTTGGTCTTCTCTTTGGTGACTTTTGGCCTTTCATTTCTCCTAATTCTAATTGGATTTGGTTGGAGGTGTTATGGTTATTTGTCTACCTTCTTTTGCCTATAAAAATAAGTTGTTTTGAGATGGAAAAGGTTTTTGAATGTTGTGAGCAAAGTCTCTACAAAACCTGAGGGTTTCTTCTCTTGGAAAAGCTTGAGAGCTTGTTCCATCCCCTTTCCTCCTCTCTATTTCATCTTGGCTTCTAATCTCTTCTTCTCTACGCAAGTTCCACTCCATCTGTATCATTCTTCTTGAGCTTTGGAAGTGTATGTTGGCTGAAATTTGGAGACATTTGACGGAGGGGTTTGGTAGGACGTTGGACTCTTTTGCAGTGGTGGACCCTTGGTTTGCAAGCCTAAGACAGTTTTATTTTATATTCCTACTCTCGTTGCATGTGAGGAGACCGCTAGACGGTTTTACTAAGGATAGCGTTTTATGTTTTTTATTTTGTTCCTTTCGATTTGGTTTTCGTTTCTTCGAAGTTTGTTTGGCTGTTTGCTAGCTACATTTGAATCGAGTTTAGTTTAAGTCTTGTCCTGGTGTTCTCCAATTTGTCTCTTTTCTCTAGTTTTGCTTGCATCAACGCCGCTAGAGCCCAAAGAAACTAAGTGATCTCAAATTTCAGCCGAATTCAAGATGCCCTAACCCTAGTAAAATAGACTATTTAATGCATACAATTCAAAAGGAAATCTATAAACAGTCCCTGCATTCAAATTTCCATCATAATTCCCTCAAAAAACCTACCAAAATAGCTCCCTTTGATCTCGCAGCATCTACGGCTCGTACAAGAGGCGGAACCACCACCTCTACTTCATCCGTAAGCCGGTCCCGCATAGACTGGTTGGACCGGTCTAACAGTTTTCTACCAAAAAGATGCATTATAAAATTAATTTTTTATTTAAGATAGTTACTAAAAAAAATAGAGAGCATAGGAGGAATCTGAAATGATTTTTATTGATTTTGAAAAGGTATTGGATCAAGTGTCATGGAAATGGATTTACCAAATATTAAGAAAATTGTTTATCACTAGTAAATTGGAACTATTAAAGATATATATGATCAAGTAATGATGAGCATTAAGAGTAGATGTAGAGAGACCAAAGAGTTTCAAATTATGATTGATTTCTAATAAGGAACTACGTTAAGTCAGCATCCTGTGGTATTAGTTATGAAAATGAATACAAATGATATCTAAATTTAGTTGCCTTGGCCGTGCTCCTTGGCATAGTTCTAAACGGTGAGAAGGACATGGCGAAATTGAGAAGGATAACTAATGAATGATCATTTAAAAAAAAAATAATTGGAGTAACATCGATAGAAAAAAGTAGTTAAAAACAGACTCGGGTGATTTGGACATTCATAATAAAGTGTAGAAAATGCCTTCATAAGATGAGGAAGTAAATTAGTATAAAAAACATTAAAAAAAAAGAGAGATAAACCAAAGATAATGCAAATAATTGTGTAAAATAATTGCAAAGCACAAGTCTGACACCTAAAGAGATGCGAAATCTAAACAAATAGAGCATGACGATTCATTAAGAAAACTCAATGTGTTGGGATAAGTATAATAATGAATAGAAAACCTCCTCAATGTCTTTTTTATTTATTTAAATATGCTACTTTGGTATACTTTAGAGCTAAATATAACCAGTAATATCATTTCTGACTCCAAAACATTTTTTGCAATTTATTCTAAGAAAACTTGCCTAGTTTCAATATAAAAAGTATCAAGGCATAAGAAAAAATATAAATTTACCTTAACAATCAATAATTGTTAATAAGAAAGAACTATTTAAATGAAATTTTCAAATGAAATTCCAATGAAAAAAAAACAATATTTAATTATCAATTAAAATATAGAGAAATCATAAAGAAAAAGACTTTTATTTCCTTGTGGGCTCCGAAAATTCGGCCCCGGCCTCCGCCCGCTATTGCATTTTCTTTTTCGAGGGAGTATTAACGGGATTAAGTTACGGGGTAAATTTTGGAAGGCAGATGGGTTTGTAGATAAGACACTACCCAGAGA